TTACAAGCTTAGGACTAACTGCACCATACCTAGTAGAAGACCGGCCACGCCCCATGTGCCTAAATTAGACAAGACTTAGCACACAGCCAGAACAAGTATACACACCTTTGAATGATGACAAGATAAACGAGAAGGAAAGACAAGACAAAGACAAAAGTTTTTCAATAAACTACAAGAAGAAAAGACGAAGATATTAGAAAAAGCTTAGAACAAAAAAAAGGAAAAGAAAAAGAAAAGATAAGGACCAGAAAGCTGTGGATAAAAGATTTTTAGAATATAACGAGTGCAAAAAATTAAGGACTAAATAACAGAAAAAACACAATTAGCTATAATGAAAAGATCATACGATACATGCAGAAACATAATCACAACTGACAATGTGATTGCTAGAATAGGAAATCTATAGATAAATAGAAGCTAATTTTAGACAAATTAGTATATGAAGTTTGGAGACCTCACTTTTTAAGGGGATGGATAGACAAAGAATTTTTAATTAATAGAACATTGTAGAATTTTTATTTTTAGAATTGAAGATTCAGAGCACACGGTTGAACAAAAACTTGTTTGATAATTATAGTAGACAAAAACACTCCATATGGGATACACAAGCAAATATTTCAAAAATCCCTTAATTATATTCGTATAACTACAAAACTTTATAAATAGATCCTCCTTGCATCTAAATTGCTATTCCCTAATTTAGTAATTCTTCACCCTATATTTTAAAAATAGAAACTCCCACCCTCCAACAATTACAGCCTCAGACTATAGATGCTTTAAATAATTTCCTTGTACTATGAAATCAGGACCCCCTCGCTGTAAACAATAGTTTAATTATAACTAGAAATTCTATTGTAGTACATAATGGAACTGATATCATTACATCATTACAATATATACTAGAAACAGAACCGGACCTGTCTATACAATATTTGGAAAATGTCGATGTATTAAATAATTATTTTCCAGATATAGCATTTAACGATCTTACTTTTTCTATTGAACCTATAGAAGAAGAATTGAATGTACTTCCTTCACAACCTGATGCAGATATTGTACAGATACAAGACACAGAAAATGAAGTTCTCGCTTAACTTATTAAGGATCTTACTGAAGTAAAAGAAGAAGTTTTTATTCGACACAACCCTCTAATTGGAATAAACTTTAAAAAAAAACCTAGAGAAATCATTAGCCGATTAAAAGAAGAGAGCTGTGGAAAATCATGTGATCAACAAATTAATATTAGAAACATCTTATTATTTAGAATAGCTAAAGAAAGAAGCTGATAATAGTAAGGACAAGATACAGAAGATTCATAATAATCTTAGAAAAGCTTTAGGACCCAGACATGCTGCCCGAGTATGGAAATGTGCTGAACAAATTTATCAACTTCTCCAAGTTTGTGAATTAT